CCCAGCGCTGAGCCCGCCCCGGCGGCACCGCCAGAGCCGGAGATGGCCGCGGACTCCGTAAGTGCAGACGCCGCCCGAAACGGCCCCTTCCCCCTCCGCCTCCCCCGGGGCCGGTACCCAGAGGGGCCCTCACAGCAGCCGGTGCGCTCCCAGCTCGGAGGTGCAATGCAAAACGCACATCAGGAATTGTAAATTTAACTGTAAGACCAACGTTCAGGCATTGTGGGCGTAACAAGCCCCAGCAATAAATAAATTAATGGGTTTGGCGGTGGACTGAGCAAAATAACCATTGTGGTATTTGCTGTCCGGAGTCTTGTGCAGCCTCCTGCCACGAGAGCCCGTGACGGCCCTAAATCCGGCAGAGTGGAAGACGATCAGAGGACGGAGCACTTCACCTTTTGAATCTGTTTCAGAAGTATCCGGAGGTCACCAAAACATTTGCTGCTTCCGAAAACACCCTCCGAGGCTGTTCTCATCAGCCCTCAGCTGGGATAGGCCTTGAATGCACTTGTCACTTTGCCATCACCCAAGAAATCTTCGCAATCTTTATCAGTGCTGCTTGCATTAAAGATCACATGGAAGCATGAGTGTTCCTTTAAAGGAGACTTTCTTCTGATTTAATTTTCCTTCTGGGCCCCTCACGTGAGGCCGGTTTTGGCGCATTTTCATTTGGAGCTCAGTGTCTGTTACTGAGTGCTTTTAGTTTTCAGTCCTGAAAACACTACACCCATGTTTAAAATGCCCTGCAGTAACTGGCTGACTTTCAAGTATGTTCAGCTGGAATGCAGTTTTGTTAATTAGTTAACCTTAGTTATTAGCAGGTTCCCCGTTAAAAGTATCACTCAACAAACAAAAAGTCAGAGATCAGAGCTCTTGAGTAGATTGTATAGGACAATTTCTAGTTTAATAAATTTTAAGAAAGGCAACTGACTTGAGATATTAATTATACCACATGGCTTCTTGTAGACGATCCCCATCTGGCAGAACAAACCCCATGGCTCAGCACGCAGCGTTGTCAGGAGGATTGGGTCAAACCTCCCTTTAAAACCCTGTCCCAGAGCAACCTTTGAGGTAAGCAGACTCGTAAGGGATTTGGCGATCACGTGTAGGAAGCTGCCGCTCTCAAGCAAGACCAGGCGCTGTCACGAGCTGCTGCTGTCAGCCACGTGTGTCTGCAGAGTTGTATTCACAAAACTCATGTAGCAGTAGAGTTAATTCTGGCTTTTTAATTTTTTTTTTTTTTTTTTGAAGTCTGTTCTTTTAAAGTGTCTGTGGACTGGGTTAGCAGGCTAGAGGAGGCAGAAATGTGGAGTTGCTGAGCCAGTGCTTTGTTGTGTGACCTCCAGCGAGGCACGTGCCCTCAGGGCCTGTGTTTCCTAAACAGTGAAACAGGGTTTATGGAAACGCTTACGTCACTGTTTAAGCTCAAGGGCAGCGCTGGGACTTGTAATGGGGAAGTGTTGCACGTGGCCTTGGCAGCGTGCTAGGCTGTATCGAGTGTCCCTGTGCTGCCTTGCCGCTCGGTCTGACAGAGCACAGTAACGCACCAACACGCCCAAGACCACGCGTGGAAGCCGACACACGGAAGCGCTACCTTTCCGCAAGCCAAAGGGTGTTGCTGTCGCCCATCTGACAGATGCAGCTGCCAACCTGGTGCAGAGGAGAAAGGCTCTGGCAGGCAGTACAGCACATCTGGGCTGGCTTCAGGCGACAGGACCGCCGTCTCCTTAACGTAACTTTCTTCTTTTTAGGTTCTACCAAATGTTTCAGAGCTCTATTTAAATGACGTCCCTCCTGTCCCCACCTTGGCGGACATTGTGTGGATAGCAGCGGATGATGAAGAAACGTACGCCAGAGTCAGGTTGGTTTCCTCTTTGTATTTGCTGATCCTTATTTTTATATGCTGGTTTAATTTCACGTAGTGTAGGCTGGACATTGATCAAATGCTCACAGCTTCCAGTCCTCTCGAGGTTTGCTGTGGTGCCTGTTGAAAGACATTTTTCCCAAGAGACAGGGGGGAAAAAAAAATTGGACAAAGGACCCCAGGAGGAATTCCTGCAGGAAGTGCTAAGAGCCTGTGCCATGCTGTATTTTGCTCATTGAAAGAGCTGTGCAGAGTAACCCCCCTGATCCGTGGTATTCTCTGGTGAGAAAGCTGAAGAGTTGAGTTCTCTTGGGATCGAAATGTTCTGCCCCCAGGAGTTTGGTTCTGGTCAGTTGAGCTTTTGTCCTTAAAGCAGGGCAATACTAATAGGTGTCTTGTGAGAGAGAAAATGGACTTTGAAATCAGAGGGAAAAGTTAACGGGTGAGTGACATTTCCCATGTGTACCCAGCGCATTGCCCGGCATGGAGACAGTTACCAGGACAGAAATGACCTGAAACCACGTGAGCACACCCAGACTTCTGTCCCTGCGTCCTCTCACTGCAGCTTGTGCTGTTGGGTCACGATTTCTGTGACAGGCTTTCTGTTCCTTGTAACACAGAGAGAGCACATACAGCGGCATGGTGCAGCTGTACAGTGGCACATACAGTGGTACATACAGTGGCACATATAGTGGCACATACAGCAGCACGGCGCAGCTGTACGGTGGTACATACAGTGGCGCATACAGCGGCACAGCACAGCTGTACGGTGGTACATACAGCGGCACATACAGCGGCACAGCGCAGCTGTACGGTGGTACATACAGCGGCACATACAGCGGCACAGCGCAGCTGTACGGTGGCACATACAGCGGTACATACAGTGGCACATACAGCAGCACGGCGCAGCTGTACAGTGGTACATATAGTGGTAAATACAGTGGCACGGAC